TTTTATTTTGTACCTTGATAGATTTCTCTAACTTTTTACACCAATACCATCACACTTGGTCACTGTAGCCTTATAAGAAATCTTGAAACCAGGTAATGTTAGTCCTCCTCCAACTTTGTTCTTTTCCAGAGTTGTTTTTCCAGAGTAGCTCTTTGTATTTGCATATGAATTTTAGAATTAGCTCGTCCATTTCTACACAGCAAGCAGCCACACTGTAGTTCTCTTGTCCAGCTACTCTCCCGTCCTCTGCATTTGTCAGCTCAGACCTTCCACTTCCCTGAGTCCCAGCAGAGGGCCTTGCCTCCTGCTGCACAGACAAAATCAGAGCCATCAGAGAGAAGTCCCCTACTACCGTGTACATAGACTCACCTCTTCCCGTCCCCTTCCTCCCGGCACACTGAGGAAGCATCCCTCTTCCTGCCCAAAGGCCACCCCTCCCTTCAGACCCTTCCCCATTTCAGGGCCCTCCCTGAGCCACGATTCCCTTTCTCTCACATACCCAACCTCCCCCTCTCAACTGGGTCCTTACCAGCAACTTTTAAACCTGCCTGAGTCTTGCCTAGTTTAGAAAACGTGCCCTGTGTTCCGCTCTCACCCTCTCCTGACTCAGTCCTGGCTCCTTCCCCTTCTCGCTCTGCGCCTCCTCCCTGGGCAAGCTCCTCCACAGCTGCCACCCCAGCTTCCGTCACCGCCCGTGTGCTGCTCCCAACTGCACGTCTCCAACCTGATGTCTCCTCTGAGATCCAAACCCACATACCCAACTGCCACTCGTCCTCTCTCCTTGAACATCTCACAGGTCCCTTCTACTCACCGCGTCCCAAAACAAACTCATAGTCTGTGCTCTCCCACTCCTCCCAGACCCAGTCCCTTCCACGGTCCCCCGCTCAGCAAATGCACCAGCATCCATGGGCCATGCAAGCCGCCAGCCTCCCCTCCCACCCCCCATCAGTCCATCACCAACTTTCATTTATTTTACCTCCTAAACAGAATCTACTACTTCTTTCTGTGTCCTTCGAGGCTCAAGCCCCAAACACCAGCCAGCAGCACCCTGGCAGGTTTGCCTGGATCCCCTCTTGCCCCTCTCAGTCTCCACAGCCACAGTGACCTTCTCAAGACCAATCAGCTCATCACCTCCCCTGCCTAAAGGTCATGCCACGAAAACACTGTCCACGGAAACCGAGGATCCTTACTGCTGCCTACAAGCCCTATGCGGCCTGGCCCTTGTGGCCTCCTCAGCTCCCTGTCCCACCACAGACCCCCGCCCCCACCCCTGCTCCAGCCACAGTGACCTCAGACCTTCCAGGCCCCACTTCCTGGTTCATCCTCAAGCCCCGTGGCCATCGTCGGTTTTGTTCCCACTGCTGAAGTGCTCCTCCCCGTCCTGCCCCGGCCATCCTGGACCACTTGCCCTTCAGAGCTCGCTGTCAGTCCCTCAGGGAAGCTTCCCTCCCTCGTAGTACCACGTTCCTCTCTTTCCTAGCACTTGCCTCAGTTAAAACTTTAGACTATTTGGGTGAGCAATGCCTGCTTCCCCACACCAGCTCCAAGGGCCCGGAAAACACCGCAGTTGTTTTTACTCACTATAAATTCAAGTAAGTAAAGAAAAGCCATTGAAAAGCACTGATCCTGTTTACGAAAACAACTTGGGAAAGCAGTTTTTGCAACGCCGTGCTGATACGGGGGTCAGTGACGCCACTGTGACCCCAGCTTTTGTTTCTCCTAGATGCTGCCTACCTTAATTCTCCCTCCAAGAGAGTGATTTTCCCCCGGGTGGAAGTGTACTGCCAGATAGAACTCGCCCTTGGCAATGAGTGCCCCGAACGCAGTCGACCGAGCCTCCAGACGCGGCCGGCCAGTCTGGAAGGATCCGCACACGTTCACACGCAGTGGGCTCCCAAAGGGGATGGAAGCGGGGGCCATGTTCCACCTGAGTCCCCACCTGTGCAGACACCTGCATCCACATGTGAGTGGCCCATGGAGTCACCTGTTTCACCACCTGTCTCTTCATTTGAGCAGTCACCTGCATGGCCACTGGCCTCCTCACTGCCACATTCTCCAGCTGACTGGCCACCCGGCTCACCTGCAGCTATGCACTCACCTCCTGGCTCACCACTGCCCATCACGCCACCTGGGTTGTCACCTGTGTCACCTCGGCAGCAGGTACGACCATCTGCATCAACACCCGGACCCCCACCCTCCCAGGCATCCACATCACCCAGGCCATCCCTGGGGCCTTCAGCTGTAAGAGCACCTCCAGCGTCACCCGCACAGCCACCTGCGGAGGAACTGGGCCCAGAACAGCCCCAAGGTAGGACCGCTCTGTCTTCTCAAGCTGTCTTCATGTCTGGAGCCCCCGTGCAAGTGCGTAACAACACGGTGGCTGATAATCGTTCCTGTAGGGTGTAGACTGAGGTTAGTCTCAGTGGCTCTGCCTGGTAGAGGACAGG